CTACACTGTATAACTAGGGCCACCCGTCGCCGCGCCTGACGTGGCAAGACGCGAGCCTCCCGACGGACCCCGCGACGCGTCTTGAGGCCATGGAGTGGATCACGCACCGCTTGTTCCACAACATTGACGGGCTCATGGCGGCGTCGGGCTTGCCGTTCACACTCGACAACTACCAGTGCACGACCGTGAGCCAGCTCGACGACACGTATCGCATCCAAGGCTGCTCGGTCCGCTATGTGCATGCCGACGTGAGCGCAACGGCGGCTTGCCTCGAGCAATTTGCCAAGGACTTTCCACCCTACTTGGAGGCGCGGGTTCGATCCTCTTTGTGCTGCGTGCCTTGTTTCAAATGTCTCTTTATGTTAGTGCCTCACCGAGACGGACAATGTGCTTTACACGCGGTACCTCTCGCCGTACGGGCTCACGGTGCATTTGCCGTTCATCCAGAACGTCCTCCAGCGCCATTACTTTGATGGACGCCGGTACGTCTCGTTCCGACACTGCATCACCGACGACGAGGCGCTCCCTGCCGACGACCTTGTCTGTGGCTGGACCGAGTGGTATATTATCTGTCGATATCGTAGGACGTGGCTAATGACGTGCTTAGGACGGTCGCCGAGTCGGTGGGTGAGAACGTGACTGTCGTCAAAGAGGGTTTTTTCGCCACCGGCCTTCGCACACCAAGCGGCGAGTACATTCGCATGGAGGCCGTGTCACCCGCCGCCGCCGCCTGCGTCGACCCCGCGAACCGACTTCGCTGCATGCAGCACGAAGCACAGATGCGCTTTGCACAGTCGTTCGAGGCCGATACGGCGTACTTTAACGCGCTCCTCAAGGTCCACGCGCGTAGCCTCATGGACCGATGACAGCTTGTGGACACTGATAAGCATGCGATTACACGGGAGCGCTTTAATGCATTGGACCTTGAGAAGAGTTGAGGGTCAACGACAAGTTTTATCGAAGTGAGTGGTACGCTATGGGTGGACAAGGCCTGTGCCGAGCAGCTGTCAACGCGGAAGCGTCTTCAGCGGCGTCACGACGCAACGAGGTAGGACGATCTCTTCGCGGCAATCGTCCGATGACTCATCAGAGACCTGCCTTCAGCGACCAATGCGGCTGCAGTGGCCTC